GTCAAATTTTGATCAATTTTTTATTTTGATCTTTAATTTTTGACTGACTTAATTAGGTTGATGTTTAGGCCAAGTCTCGAGTACCCAATTAAATAAGATCGATTGGTTTAAGGATTTTATAAATAGTTTGAGCATATATAATTTACATGAGTGTGTTAAGTCTTGATTAGAATAGTTGAAAAGATCATACACATAACTACTAAAAGGTTCTATGAAACAAATAATTGATATAAATGATAAAAAAAATATATAAAAGATTCAGTTTTATGATAATTATGAATAATATTTAAAACTTATTATAGTATATAATTAGTATATTAAAAATATTTTAAAGATCAATTTAAATTTATTAACAAATCATTAGCTAATATGATAGTATGATAGTATTCGAGGAATTTAAGATTATACCCTTAATATGACTAACAAAGATGTAAGCTCAAGAACATTGAGCATGAATTTAATTGAGTTCTATACTTTATTTTTAAATTTTATTTTTTAAATTTAACTTATTTAAAATTTATTATAATAAAATTAAAAATAAATAAAACTTAAATGAGTTAACTAATATATATATTTAGAAAAAAATTAAGATTAAAATAAAAAAATACTCATATCATTTTAGATAATATTCGAGGAGTGAGTATAATATATTTTATCTAATTAAATATAACTTTTAAACAGAATACCAAACCAGTTTAATGACATTAAACTACAGCCATCAATATGTATAAATAAAAAAAATTCTCTAAACGATAGCAAATGAGTAAGTGCTTGAAGACACAATTCCATCATTGTGAGCCGGTGCTGTTCGAAGCACTTTCACGTGTGAATCGGCATCACTCGTTCGCCACTTTGACTTACCTATAGTTAGGTCAAAAGTACCAGTGACCGTGGCGGTTTGGTTACGATTTGTTCCGACGACGCCAAGTTGGCAGCGGAGGAAGCAAAAGATTAGCCACTTAGATTTATGCGTTTTATATGTAGTTCTCTACTAATTAATTATATTAATTTGCAGTTGATGACTAATATACACTTATTGATTAATGCATTTTATATGCAGTTCTCTACTTCTCAATTTTGTAGACTATAAATGATTCCAATTTAGAAGGATATTCTTTTTCAATTCAGTTAATCGATTCGGATTGAACGGAACCAATTTTAATTAAAAAATACTAACACACTTAATCGGATTGAACCGAACCAATTTTAATTAAAAAAAATAACACACCTAAAGTCCCAAAAAAATCCTAAAATCTCTATTCAAACTTAATGAGTTCATTGCTTCTTTGGACTCTACAACTCCTTATAACCTCGAGCTTCTCTAACCACCATGAAGGCAAAGTGTTCATTAATAAAAAGATAAATATAGGAAAAGACTTTATTTGAAAGGTACTTGAATAGGGTTCTACTTCTGACTTTGGTGGTACATACCTATTCTGTTTATTAGATACAATTTATGATCATACCTTATTGCTCTTGTGCTTGCTCTTCAAGCCATTTTTGTAGGCACTCCAGGCAATAACAAGGCAAAATTGCCATCCCATGCATGGTTCATCCACAATTAGTACATTCTGTGTACCACACATTCAACATATCTACAATAAAGTTACAAATATGTACATGAGAAAATTGAATGCAGCACTACTTTTAACTATTAAGCATGTCAGGAAGTCATTAATGAGGTTAGTAATTTAATGCAACACACTATAGGGGTCGAAGCACACACACATAAAAGGGCTCTGGAACAAAAAAAGGATAATAAGATGACCTCAGTTGTTCAAATGTGGAAAGAGAACAGAATATTTGGAGAAAGAAACACACACTTTAAAGATGACAAGAAAATGGCCAAGAATGAAGGGGCCACTGGATAAATTCAACAACATATATCTGAAGGTTGCAAAAAAGAAAAGAGGTAAACTGACACAATTAAAACATCATAGATTCTTTTGCCATAAACTGCAGAGTCAATGAATATATGGTTTAGTGAGTCTATAATCCCATTTTCTTGCTATCAGATTCTGATAGACAGATGGACAATATGGTCTAGAATACAAACGTACAGAACATATGAACTTGGAAACTGTCAATGAAAGTGGTTTAAAAGCAGAATCATGGAGTCACATGCATGCATTGAAAGTGAAATTTCTATCAAATCCAGTGTGGAGTGATTACAAGTTTCTTAGGATGGATTTCTGTGATATATCATGCCGCACAATATGTAGATATTGCGGATAGATAAATGCATTAGGAGCTGCAACAAGATGTTGACATATAGATAAGAAAACATATTGTTGCCATCAATCTAATTAGTTGCTTGGTCAATGGAGTGAACTAATTTATTGTTCCTTATACGCTGTCCATTGTGTTGATTTGATCTCAGATGCCATTGTCACTCCAGTGTGGAGTGATTACAAGTTTCTTAGGATGGATTTCTGTGATATACCATGCTGCACAATATGTTGATATTACTGATAGATAAATGCATTAGGAACTGCAACAACAAGATGTTGGCATATAGATAACAAAACATATTGTTGCCATCAATCTAATTAGTTGCTTGGTCAATGGAGTGAACTAATATATTGTTCCTCATATGCTGTCCATTGTGTTGATTTGATCTCAGATGCCATTGTAAAAGAGAGTAAGCCAAACAAGTGCAAGCACCCATCACAGGCACAAGACTCTTAAGATGTATCACTAACATAAGACAATGTGCCTGGTGCATAAATTTATTTGAGAAAGGGAGATTGTGAGATGTTAGAACTGGAGCTAAATATATATATAGAACAAACCCCTAATCTTGAAAAGCAATCTTCACACAAAATGCAACCAAAGGTTCATGCTATCATCCAACTAGCAGACAAATAAAGGCTCATATTGAAAACACAATTTGGAAAATTCTTGATAATGACAAAACGCCAGAAACGAGATTTAGTATATGGCCAGTTAAGCTTAAATATATAAAATTGCCAAGTGGCACTTGAGGTCATCGCATTGCAAAGACAGATCATGTTTTGTAACAAATAAGATGTTTTCACTCAATACCAACTAGCATTTTGGTACAATGCAAAGCAACATAGTTAGAAACATTAGAAACACAATGGAAATCTTCAATACGAGCCAATATTAACCAGGAAAAGAAGGAGCAATCATAAGAACTTAGACAACTATCAACAGCAACAGTGACACAAGGGAAAGGCAAGTATTCTAAGTCGTAATTGGGTGCAAAAGAGCAGAGCAACCCAATGTTTAAAGAACGTACTTAACCTGAAGAAGAAGCTACAATCTGGAGCTCTTATGGGCCTCAAGCAACAACTCAGATATCTCTTTCAACATATCAAGCCGCTTCATCCATAATTCCATCTCGGTCTCGCACTGCTTCCTCAACTTCTCCTCCAGCGCTGTCCCCTTGGACGGATCAATCAACTTCAGCCCCTTCTCCAAAAGCACCCCCGACATGCACCGCCCGTTCACCTTCCAATACGCCGCCGCCGCTTCCCTGATGAACGGGAACCTATCATTGTCCCCACCCGTCTCCTCCTCCTCGCCCTCAGCGTCCGCCGCGGCGGCCACGTCCCCGCTCTCATCCTCCTCGGCATCCCCATGTTTGACCTCCTCGGCCCATACATCGGTGGACAGCTCGTAGATACGGCGGTCGTGGGCGGTGGCGCCCGCGGCAGGACCGGCGGAGGCTGAGTGGACGAACTTGCTCTTGAGGCGCTTGAGCTTGTAGCCGACCTGATCGGCGGTGAGGTGGGGGCCGACGGAGCTCTTGATGGAGGCGAAGAAGGCAGCCATGGTGGGCTGCTTGGGAAGGGCGTCGGTGCGGGAGCGGAAGGCGAGGGCGCCCTTGAGGAGCTCGACCTCATCGTGCTCCGACCAAACCTTCTTCTGCCGGATTTCGGGGGAGCTCTTGCCGCCGAACTCGCGGGGCTTCCGCTTCCGCTCGCTACGCCTCGACGTGGCGGCAGGTGAGGCGGCCGCGTAGGGTTCCGGGAGGGGTTTCGAGGCAGGAGGAGTCTGGGGGGCCGAGCGGCCATCGGGGCCGCCGTTGGTGGAGGGAGGGTCCTCCGTGGTTGGCAGTAGGGAGTCGGCGGCAGTCGCGGAGGAGTGAGAAGAAGAGGAGGAAGAAGAAGCTTTGTTCGCGGAGTGTGAAGCGAGGCGTTTGGATCGCATGCTTTCAGAGGGATTTGGGATAAGAGTCAGACAGAGGGGAGGAGACAACGGCATAAAGAAGTCGCCTTCAACATCTCATCTGCTCGAGGAGAGAGATGGGGAATGGGACGGTCAATTTGCCCCCAAAACACAAGAATATTCTTCGTAGGGAGATTTCTGGGCTTTCGATTTCGGATTTTAGATCCGCTTCAGTAGTTTGGCGATTATGGGCCGGATCGGCTTAAACTAAGCACATAATGTTTGGGCCGGGCCTCGACTGGCCTCACAAATCTATCCGTAGACTGCACTCGGTATCTTTATATACTATTGCTGCTTTTACAAATCAATTCATACGATGTCTAGAAATAGCATATCTACCCTTAAAATTTTCATTGTCCACCAAACATTAGTTTGAGTTAAAACTATATAAAATATTCCTAATAGACTTTACAACATAGTAAGTTTTTAAAGTATATAATCAATAGATTAAATATAGGGATGCATATGCAAGTTTTTTAGCTTGGGAGGACAAATATGATATTGTTACATTTCATAGAGGGTCGATATGTAAAAGCGTATATATTAAAGATTTTTTTTTAATCTTATTTACAAACGCCAATCGTTTAACTCCATCTCTCGAAACAAACGCGGAAAAGCTACAGCCAACCAGCTTCGACCACGAAGGCAGTGATTGCCTGTGTCGTTCCAGTCAGGGGACGCGTATATTTCTCGTACGAGACTGTGGGTCGAGTGAAATAAATGTGACGAGAGCCGGCCGCTTGTCAGAAGGGCCAAATGTTCCATGGTGTCGATGAGACAGGCGATCACCGCCCCGAACTTAGTGACTGACGCAAGAGTAACAGAACACGATCACTTGGTCGTCTCTCCCCTCTCCGTCCTCAGAACTGGTCTAGGGAGGGAGAAGACGAGGAGTGGGAGGGAGATCGCAAGATGGTGCTGTGGGTGTTCGGGTATGGGTCTCTGATATGGAAGGCGGGGTTCCGCTACGACGAGAGGCGCGTCGGATTTATTAAGGGATTCCGGAGGGTCTTCTACCAAGGCAAGCCACCTTCCTCCCTTCCTACCCTTTAAGAAGAGTGCAAAACGTTGGTTTTTAATGGTTTGTTGCTTTTGGTGTCTGAATCATTTGATCTATTGGGTGGAATGGAATAGGTAGCACAGACCACAGAGGGACTCCCGATTTCCCCGGAAGAACCGTCACTTTGGAACCCCTTCGCGGAGCAATCTGTGTATTCTCTCTCTCTCTCTCTCTCTTCCCTTTACTGTCACGATTAATTATTTGCGTGTGATTGTTTGGACTGTTAATTACGGCGACAGAGTGAATAATTTTTTTGTTTGCTGGATCTGTTGAGTTGGATACTCCTTTTTTGAGGGAAGAAACTTCTATCCACGACTTTTTCGCACTGATAGCTGTGTCTGCTCAGTCGTTCTTTGATTAGAGGGCAAAAAAGCTTCTATACATGATTAGGTCTGTCAGGCGTAAATCGTGTGTGTTCCAACAAATTGTGAACGCCCACCGTGGGGTTCGAAACCACGAACACAAGATTAAGAGCTTTGTGCTATAACTGGAATTAAATTTTTTAATTAAAATGCCGTATATTTAAAAAAAATTGTTGGCTCTTTGTAGAAGTTTCATACTGTCAAACTTGATGCATGTTGTAGTTCTGCAGCTTTGCCAGACTGTTTCTCATGATATTGGGCTGTCGGACCTCTATTATCTAAGGAGAAATAAATGACAGTTTATCTCTGGAATTGTTTCATTGGCTTGTAAGAATATGAAAGAAGAATAATAAGGCTTTCTTGCCAAAATTGTTTCAATAGGATAAGTAGATGACTGTTAACTCTTGGCATACATATTGGAGCAAACTCTTATAAGCATGGTTCAGCTTGTAGTTTGGAAAACCTTTGTGCTAAGCTTTTATAATTTCATTTCTCTCATACTTTTGTTTTCTATCAAATTATAGAATCTTCACCTTTGAAGTTTCACTATATGAATATATGGTCTTTGTAAATCTATATTAGTGTGAAATATTTGGTGTTGTTGTTAGCTTTAGAAAAAAAATGGTTTCATTGTGATATTAAATGGAATCATGTTTACCTGCAATCTATCTATTTCTTTGGAGTACCATAGATAGTTCTTTCGTGATGAAATGCTTATAATCATGGTTTGCCGTACCGAACAGTACCGCCCGGTACGGGCGGTACGTACCGGTCCGACAGACTTTCGGTACACGGACCGTCTCTTACCGTTCCGGTACTGTAGCAGTACTGTGGCAGTACTGTAGCACTGCTACAGTGCTCGGCACACCCGGGTGTACCTCTCGGTACACCTCGGTATACCGGTCGGTACACCCGTACCATACCGTACCGAGCGTGGGTCGAAACGTCGGTACGGTACGGTACGACGAACCTTACTTATAATCATTGCCTTGCTGTCATAGATTTGGTGGTAACATATGTGACATTATAACCCTTTTTTTTTCTATGATAACAATATGCTTACAGAGAAATTAAAATCATGAGCTATATTATAAAATTTTGGTAAAGAGTTATCGAAAATATGATAAGGCTTAAAACAAATATCTCTAAAAATCAATTTGATTTTATGCTTGAAAGATCAAACATAGAAACTATTTATTTATTAATACAATTAATGAAAAAGTATAGAGAGAAAAAGAAATATATGTATATGGGCTTTATCATGGTTCGCCTTACTAGTCTGTACCGATGTATCGACCATTTATCAGTACACTATATATCGAGCCATATCGACCTGTACCGAGTGTACCAACACATGGTACCTAGAGACATATCGATATATTGCCCGTATCGATCCCCCATCATACTGGTATGTACTGCTCGTACCAAATGTTATACTATGGTACGATGAACATTGGGCTTTATTGACTTAGAGAAAGCTTATGATAGGGTTCTTAGAGATTTATTGAGATGAGTTTTAGAAAATAAAGATATATTCACTAATTATGTTGATATTATTAAAGATATGCATGATAATGTAGCTACTAGTATTAGAACTATAGGGAGTGTGTGTAGTGAATTTCTTATTAGTATAGGATTACATTAAGGATTCTCATTAAGTCCCTACCTTTTCACATTGATAATGGATGAATTTACATAATAGACCTCCCCAGTGTATGTTATTTGCTGATGATATTATCCTAGTTGATGAGAGCCTAAGTGGATTTGATTATAAAATTGAACTATGAAGATATGGAGAGATCGATGAAGATATTATTCATTGAATAACAACATGATAGTTAAAACGACAAGGGGCATCAAGATTCTTGTGTGATCATCAAATACCTTTGAGATTAAAAGAAAAAATTTATAACGTAGTTGTGAAACCAATAATACTTTATGAATCTGAGTGCTGGGCACTTAAGAAACAACATATATAAAAAGTTTGTGTTGCCGAGATAAGAATATTAAGATGAATGTGTGGAGTTATAATAATTAAATCAATATTAAAATTTACTTAAGCTTTAGCGATCAATATAAATCAAATAATCATTCTAACATCATAAAATAATAATAATTATTTACTAATGATGAAATTTTAAATTAAAACATCATATCATAAAATTATAACAATCTCAACATCAAGATTTCAAAATATAAATTAAAGCTAGTTAAAAAAGAAAGGATCCTACCTCTCTTCGCTCTCCTTTCCTCGATATCATCTTCTTGGGAAGTCCTCTGATCTCCCCAGAAGGTAAGTAATTATAACCCAGATCAAGCCCTAGCATAGTGCTTGTGAGGCATAGCCTAGTGGTGGCTCCACGCCGTGACGAGTTTGACCAAAATACTTAAGCTGAAATTGATAATAGTATACTCATCAGACCCTTAGAAAAGAAATACTTTTATTCGTGAACAATTAGGTAATGCCTCGATTAAGGATAAGATGAGAGAAAATCGTTTAAGATGGTATGAACATATGCTTAAGAGACCTTTGGATGTAGTGGTTAGAAGAGGTAAAATGATTAATGTTAGTGATACGAGGAAAGATAGAGGAATATCTAGAAAGACTTTAATAGAAGTTATAAATAAAGATTTAAGTATGTTGAAGTTAACTAAATATATGACTTTTTACAAATCTCAATGGCGATAAAAGATCCATGTACACGACCCCAAATAGTTGGGATTTATGACTTTGTTGTTGTTATCGTTGTAATAACAATATGCATTTTGATGAATGATAAAAGCTCACAAATAAACATGTTGGATAACTGACAGATGTTGTTACATGTGTTAAAATATATTGTTGATATACATACAGTTAGATCACGCTGTAGGCATTAGTGTATGAAGAAGCAGATATATAAAAAGAGATGCATAAACAATTGATATGCTTTCTTGTACTTACAAAAACAAATGTTTGTTTTTGTGTTTGCATTTTTTTCATTCTGATATCCTTTTATTGTTGTATTTTGCTTAATGGTTTCTTTTGTTCCATATGCTTCTAGTGGGGAGTTGCATACAAAGTTTCTGGTGAAGAAGATCAGAGGATTGCCCTAGAGGTAGTATTCTATCATATTTATCTTTATATTTAATTTGCATTGGATATGAATTTTCATTTTTGGTAAAATACACATTCCATCAGCTTGGGCTCTTCTTATTAGATTGAGTTAGACATTATATCAAATGTAGTTTTAACAACTACAGTTAGACATTATAACCGTATTGTGTCCGAGCGTAACCACACAGATTACTTCCTTCTTGCATGAGTCACCATTATGAGGTTGAATTTTCTCTATGGTAATTAGTCTAGTATTGATATCAAAGGATGTGTTTGCTTACAATAAATTATATTTTGAAATACATGCTTCACCATTTTTTTAATCGTGTAGGGTTTCGTGTACAAAGAAAACAAAAGTTAGTTTTTGGATTTTTTTAAAGCTTCTCATGTAGTAAGCCTTGTGGTCATCACCATTACTGGCATTTACATTATGGTTGTTGCCATCACTATATCACCACCATGATAAATGCTACCACTGCCCCTGTCATTGTTGTCACTACAGCTATGTCACCACTAAGTTTCGACTGAAGCCACTAAGTGAATCCTTTTAGTTGTTTCTTTATTGACCTTTTTCTTCTTTCATTAATTTTTCATAAATTTAACAATACCACTTTACGTTATACTTTGCTAATCCTTCAACCAACTAAACCTATCAAAATTCTTTTTAATCCTTTAAGTTATTATATTCTGTGTTGATTCTTTTACTTCCTAGCCTTTTATCTTTGATTTTTTTATATTTATAGTTTGAAACAAAATGATGTTTTTTCTTATATATCTGTCTATTTTATTTCATTACTTTTATAGAAATTTATGTCTTGCTTCAACTGGTGATGCATTCTTTTGTGCCTCTTGTCTCAAAGCATTCAAGAGGCTTGGCATCTTCACTGCATTTTCCTTTTTATCATCATCTATTATACTATTACCATGACTTCTGTTTATTGTTTTTGTCACCACCATCATCGTTAATGTGACTATCACATGCTCCATCCACTATTACCATGACCGGCACTAACTAAGAGTCACCACTATCACCATTGACAACAAGCCATTATAGTCGCACCTGCCACAACCAATTCAGTATTACCTCCTCCATAAATATCACCATAACAAGCACTTCTATTATCATTGCTACCATGGTCATGATCATGACCAAGTCCTCCACCACCATCATCTATATTCTATCATCACCATTATCACTATTACTGATAACATGGATGAAAAAGATGTGTTTTCCAAAAGTGAACATGGCCCAAACAATTTATTTGGGTTTTTATCCATTTATGCATATCTGTTTTACATACAATTTTGTGTTTTATATTGGAGCCTCTGAGTACCAGAATGATAATGACAATCCAACTAGTTTGCAAGATAAACATCCAGTAACCAGTATCTCAGGTTGCATTTAAATTTTTTTAATTGCACTCAACGATCTAATTTTCAAAAACCTCTTTATTTGTCTCTGTTTCAATTGTAAAGTAAGCAGAATTTACTGTTTCTTTAACTTTAGTTTGTCGGATTATATGTTTTCTTTTGGTGGGAGACTGCTGTGTTTTCACATTTTCTTGTCTGCATTGCAGCATCTAGAAATAAGGGAAAAGCAATATGACATGAAGGTTTATCTTGAATTCTACACTGTAAGTAGGACGTACTTTGCCAGCTTCTTTGCTTTCAATTTATGTTGTCTATCAAAAGTGTGCCTATATCTGATTTCAGGACCCGGCTTCTTCTACTCCAGCTATCAATCATGTAATGGTGTAAGTGGCAGGCTAATAAAGTTATATTCTAAAATGTTCTTTTCTGAAACACACTCTGATGCCTATAACTAATTAGATACATAGGTTCAGCGGACAAGAAGGCCAACCAGAATTATTTGGGACCAGCATCACTGGATGAAATGGCCAGGTATGGTGGCCATTTCATTTGTCTACCATGTCTCGAATACGTGTGTCTGGTAGTTGATGTATGTGCATATTTTACAGACAAATTGCCGAGGCTGAAGGTCCATCTGGACCCAACAGGGATTACCTTTTCCAACTTGATGATGCGCTAAAACAAATTGGTAAGTTCATTCCTCTTGCCTTCATTTATTTACTTTTAATAATTCTATTTTCCAACTTGTGCAGGATGTGATGACACCCATGTTAGAGATCTTTCTAATGCAGTTAGAAGAATTCTCTCAACAAAAGCAGCAGCATAATTTGAAAAAGGGACAGAACAGCATAGTTTCTGACTAAAGTTGAGCAAAATTCAACATTATAATCTGCTCTGGATCTTGGTTTTCGATTCATAGTAGCTTTCTTTGCTGGTATCACAATCTACTGAGCTAATTGTTCAGGTGGTTATTACACGGTATATGATTTATTCATCCAAGCGAATGCATAACTTGTTTAGGGTGTAATTGATATGTATCGACAGTATAAAATTTGGACCGTTACTTGGCTCAATAAATGATTCCTCTTAATCAAACTATATTACTTGGGGAATATATTGTTGTCCAGGCATCAGACGTGAAGAATCTCTGGCTTATTTCAGTTGCATTAAATTCTTTGATTCTAAATGAGTAGTGCATAATATTTTTACACCTGGAACTCTAGACAGGTATTGGATGAGTTCCACTTAATGCTGGAATTCTTATGCTTTTTTCTCCAATATCTCCTTTCAATCACTATGGGTTTGATCTTCACGTAAAACCTTTTAGATTAGTTAGCAATAGCTCCACATCCTTGATCTAAAGACAACCTTTTACCCTCTTTGCGAGCGAGGTATCAGCGCAGCCGAGCACCGCGAGGATTCCACACATGGCGAACGCCTTCTTGTCGTTGGTTTCGAGGTGTCGAAGGCGATGATAGGTGAAGGAGGACTCGACCGCGCCCCTCGCTCGGATCCGCCCGCTTCCTCTGTGGCGAGAGGTAGCCAAACGATATGTGAGCGAGAGAGAAAGAGATCATAAATTTAATCCAAGCCGTTGATTCCGATGGCACGAATCTTATCGTATGGCATATTTTTGTGCGCATTGACCGTTGAGTTTCCAAACACCAGCTTCGGAATGGATCAACTCCGCTGTTCGGTGTTCGCGACAGTAAAGAAGGAAAATGTATGCCTGACACGTGTCCGTTTGTTCCAAAAAAAGGATCACCTCTTCGTTTCTTCCGGCATTTTGTAACCGACTTGCTAGTGGATGTATAGAGAGTAGGACCCACAGACAAGATGAGCATAAAATAAAATCAACTTTTTGAAAAATCTCAAAATATTAGACATAATTTAATGAACTCCGACAATTTAACTAAAATATGGCTTGTGAAAAATATCCCTTATTCCACAATTTAATTTTAAAAAATCCCTCGGAGTACTTAATTATAGTGTGATGGATACAATTATAAAAAATTGGGCATATGTTCAACGATCTCAACAACCCTTATAGCATTTGAGGAGTTACTGCTTGAAGAATATTAGAATAACTATTTTGTTCTTGAGACTGGCCATTTCACTACAGTGGATGTGTTGCTGCTGCAGTCTTAAGTTGCATGCCTTTTCCACAATTCCATTAATTAGTACGTGATGCATCTTCCTGTCTTGATCTAATATTATTCGTCATGGCCAATTGGAAATGTGTTACACTCGATAAGATTCGGCAGATCGAGTGCTGCACAAGAGCAGTAAATTTAAGGCTTCCAAAGATTTATGATGATTCAATTATCACGTACAATTTTCAAGCCGAGGTTTCGGGAGAGATTGTCGGTAGTTTCCATACCATGAATGAGTTTCTACTTCTCCACATGCAAAACACATCCCTCTTCGTTTATTTTCTTTTGATCTTTCCTTGTTCGGAGTGTCGATATATGGGTTAGCTAAACTTCAGCGTGAACAGTGTCCCCATTTTACGTATCTCATGATAATTACCATAACA